GTGGTGTGTTCATGCTGAGGTCCAGGGTGGCGTGGGTCAGTCATACTCAAACAGGCCTGTCAAGGAGCCATGTAGTAAAAGCAGTTCTGTGAGAACTCAGTGACACTAACCCTCTTTCATGCATCCTAGACTTACCTCCCAATACGCAGTCAACTTTTGATGTGGGAGGAAAAAGGCCTTTATGGTGATGATAGTGGTTAACCCGCAATTATGGATATTTGTTCTTACAATTCAAAGGGAGGGAGGGGGGCTTACTGCATTGTGCTTTCATTCACATACATCTCCCATCACTCTGGTTTCCACCTTTAGGTATAACTCCATCTCTTCCCAACTAGGTGGTGTCACGGCCTAGGACCCACTGAGTGTATAGAAGATCCTCCCTACACACACCATTTACCAATGACAGAATTGCCTATGCTTGTCTGGGACCTACTGCAAGCCATACTATGAAAGTATCTAGAGACTGTCTTAGGAACTGATGTGCTGGTCTCGAATATTTTGCAATGTTACAAAAAAGAAATTCACAAGAACACACCCTGCAGCTTTTGCTCCGAATTTAGAGGTGAGGAGGAATCCTCTATCAACTTGCCATGCTCTGAGAGTCCGGTAGGGTGACAGCTCTGGTGTCTGTGTGAAGTATGGCAGTCTGACCTTGTAGGAGGCACCATGGCACCATGCCAGCTGCAACCTATTTGTGCTCTTAACCATCGTCCTCCTTTGTTTTCTGGAATAGAGGAAGGAACAGCCAAACCAACAAAAATGTTTTTGATTCCAAATAGTATTGTTCAGCAGACCAACGTTGCTGAGAAATAGGTACGGATCTCTGTGCTTTGGATGCACAAGATAAGTGTGGTGGGTGTCACAGCAAGAATAGCAATTATGTCATCTGTCTTGTCATGGAATGTGACTATAGTAATTGCAACATTCTTTCTCATCAGTGAAGCTTGTAATTATAGTGCAACTAACAGGATTATGTGCTAACTTGGGCTGTTTTAATCACCTCTTTTACTCTGAAATACAATGGTAAAATTCCACAGTTGTTCCCAGGCTGCTGCCTTTTTCAGTATCTACCATGCTATGACTAACAGTGGGATACTGAGGCAGAAGATGAGATACTCAGTGCGTTTCATCAGAGAAGACTTGAGGTACAGCTGTTTGAGGTTTGATGAGAAAATAGCAGTAAGAGAGTTTCCAGTTTTCTAACAGAGTAAAAATTTCTGTCTTCAAAAGCAGATTATCTATTTTATTTTTTTTAAGGTGGCAGATGTTTTATGGGATCTGGTGATGTCTATAATCCATATTTTACAGAAGGAAAATCTCCAACCACAAAAACCAATCTAGGAAGAAAAATCAGTCTAGGGCTGGTTAAGAAAATCCTCCCACCCAGCCTGTGGAAGAACTTTAGGTTAAAGCTCTGGTGTCACACCGTGGGTCACCTTTCATGTGTAAGGCACATGAAGACACATGAATATGGTCACTGCCCATATTTTATATCTGCTGATCCCATTACAATAAACGCCAACAGTTATCCACAACACTTGGGCTATACAAGAATAAAGGGGCTTTGGACTCTGTGAAAGAGAAGTCAACTTAAAGCAGAAGACACTTTTGTGTGGTCAGATGACTTACACTCCATTGGACACAGTAGTATGTGAGTAGACCATTATTTGTAGAAATTGTCCCAGTCTCTTTTCTACAGCTATGGCAGAATCCCACAGTCGGGGCAGTTTATAAGAAAAATTTATTTCTCACCATTCTGGAGGCTGGGAGATCTACCTGGAAGGGCCTCCAGGGTGCGTCATAACATGTTAGGATGGGCGATCGTGGGTCACAAGGAGACAGAAGAAGTCAGGCAAGTTCTTCCTGTAATTGGGAGCTCACTCCAAGATAAGTAACATGTTCCTGCCATCATGGCCTTGGCCCTTTTAACAAGCTGGAAGCCCACATGGCCTGTCACCCCTTCAGGGTCCCCCTGTTACAACAGCAGTTAAATGTCAAGGTCATCTTTGGACGGACATTCTAACTGTAAGAGTTACGTGTTAGTAATAATTCTGAGTGCATCTGCAAGATTAATGTACCGTGGATGCCATCCAGGTCTCCACTCTTGGTCTCATCCAGGCACTCACTGCCCTGCCCCAACACTGGCTTTGCTGTGCATTCATTCCTGTGGGTCAGGTATGCACAGGGGACACAGAACCCAGAGGGGTATAGTGACGACCAAGCAAACGCAGCTATGACCCGAAACAGCAATGGAAGGAGGGCATCTAGGAGCAACTTGTTTTCTTGAAAGGAAAATTGTGCTATCAAGTACAGTATCACCTTTGGGAGATGACAGGAAAACTAGCAGAGGTCTGCTTAGAGATGGCAAGGCAAGATGTTCACAGCCCTGTTGTTGTGTTGCACACTGGGCTGGAAGGAAGAAAACACACTGGTGGAGAGGGACTGCGGCCCCATCCGGCTCCCCTCCACTGGGCTGTCCCCTAAAGCCCAGCATCTCCGAGCCCCCTCCTATACGTGACTGTGATATACTGGTCCACAGTGCAGCCCCAGGGAGATGACCCTTCCAGATTGCTCTCGGGGTTAAACTAGCCCAATGCACCCACCATGGATGGTGCCACCCATGTGTACTTTTGAACTGATGAGGAGGAAGGAAGCTGCCATGATCAGTGATCATTCAGGAGGCTGCTTTCTGCGTGAGGAAGGTGACTGTGTAGGGCAGCTTTGGCTCCCCGTCTCTCTGCCTCCGGGACATTCCAGCACATACCGATTATAGTGGTGACATCATTAGTTGTGAGTCTTCTCCATTGGTTCTAGAGGGCAAAAATCTCACCTTGTTCTTTCCCTGCCTCCTCTCAATTAGCCACAAGATAAGTACTCAGCAAGCGCTTCCTGAATGAGGTAATGGGGTTGATAGAGGATTCAGAGTCAGCTGGAGCATGGCCAGAAGGTGCAATGGATGGGAACATGGAAACTAGGCCATGAGAGGCTGCTAAGGTGGGCAGCTGAGGCCGGGGCAGAGGCCCAGCAGTCCCGGGAGGAAGGGTTGTCTCCACCACTGCAGCTCTGCACGAACACCCCTCCCAGGGGCTGCCAGAGAGGCCGTTGGATGGGTTCAGGGGCCACGCTCCCTTGGTGTGGCCCTGGGGAGACCTGGGAGCTTCTGCACCTCTAGGCCTGGTGGGGAGACAGAGAGGGGGACGGAGGTCAAGACTAAGACAGTCAGGGAACAGTCAGGGGTGTCCTACAACCATGTGCTGAGCACTAGGCCAAATTCCTGTTCTTATGTGTGTCTACCAATGCGCCATCCGTGTGATGGTGTCCTGCAGGCTTAGTCCTTCCCTGGGCCTCTGCTTACCTGAGAAATGCCTGATACAAGTGTCTTGGCAACCACTGCAAACTTCAAATGTTCCCATCAACCCACCATCATTTAGAATTTAAAAGACTGACCATAGTGCTACTAAAGGTAGAATCGTACACTGTATAAGAGAAAGCAAGCTTAGAGATATTTAACACTCCTAAATTTTACTATTGAGAAAAATAAAGGTCAGAGAAGTTGATTTCCTTGCCCAAGGTCGCACAGCTAGCTGTGAGGGGAGGAGGTGAAGCAAGAAGCCTGATGTTCATTGGTGCCTCTTTCTCTATTCCACACTCTCGGCAAGTGTAGACTAAGTCAAGATTTATACTGAACATCTCCTGAACTTCTAGTTGATTTATCTGAGGAAAAAAACTTCATTCCACGTCTCTGCTGAGTGATTTGTAGGACTTGTGAGTGGGTCTGGGCTTGGAGTCAGAAGAATCTCTGTGAAATGTTGGAAGATGAACTGGTTTAAAAACTCAGAAGGGAATGTGTGTGGCTTGCCTGGCTGGAGGCCTGGACACATTTTCCCAAGCACTCGTGGAGTGGCTTTGCCTTTCTGGAGGAGAAGACACTGAGGTTCGGGAGGGGCACGCGGGCTGCTGGGACTCACCCTCAGGACAGCCCAGCTGGCGGCTGGGTGGATGCACAGGCCTTTCATCCACGCAGGCAGTGAGCTAGCAGATCAAGCTGGCCACGCCATCTCCCCTCAGCGAGTGCATCTCTGCGCACTGCCACCTCCACCGAGCTCTTCTGCTAGACTGGAGCTGGGGACCGTTAGATGCGCAATTGTCCCATGTTATAAGTCTAGAAAGAAAATGGGGAGGGTGCTTCCTGGTCCGGAGCAGCTCCTGTGTAGGGGAGGCCACCCCACGTTAAAAGGTGTGTGCTTAATGCAGTACACGGTGTAGCAGTGGACAGCCATAAAGAAAAGCAAATCGTGTCATGGCAGGAAAATGGACGGACCGAGAGCATCATAGTAAGTGAAATAAGCCAGATGCACAAAGACGAGTATTGCGTGTTTTCTTTCATCTGTGGAAGACTGTTAGAGGAGGGGAAGGAGATCAGGGAAAGGAGGAGGGAAGGGCATATGAGGTGACGGGAGTGACAAAGTATACTATATGCATGTACAGATCTGCCAGAATGAAACCCATTCATCTGTAGAATTAATATGCACTAACAAGAAAGAAGAAAAACACATATTCTTAGAAAGCAGCTAACTGTATGTTGTATTGAGGGGAACAGAGTATCTTGGCTTGGTCATGAGAATGGACTGCACTAAAACTAATAATAATGATAACAAATACAATCACTGACTTGGCCAGGGACGGCATTCTGCATGATTGTTTCAGAAACAGCTTAGTGGAACCATTTGCGACTCTTAGCCCAGATGGGAGTGTGACAAGGACATTGACCTTTGTGCCAGTTCCTCCACCCCTTCTGGGTGGCCTAATGTCCCGAGGCAGCCTGTCCTGGGTGTCATGTCCTGGGCTTGCACCAGCCCTTTGCAGCCTGGGTATGGCTGTGTTGTGGGCCATCCTGGGCCTGTCACCTCCTGCCTGTCCTGTCCCTTTCGTTGTCTTCCCGGGCCCTCACTGGATGCATTCTGAGCAGGCCTCTAATGGAAACTTTGCTGTCCCCACAGGTGTCCCAGGCAGCGGCAGACCTCCTGGCATACTGTGAAGCCCACGTGCGGGAGGACCCCCTCATCATCCCAGTGCCCGCATCGGAGAACCCCTTCCGGGAGAAGAAGTTCTTCTGTACCATCCTCTGAGGCCTTCAGTGATGGACCATCTCCTTTCCCGTAGAAACCCCCCGTAAAGACAGTGCATGCTTTTAGGCTAGGGAGCCCCCGTGGCTGGGCTCAATTCATTTTTTCATTCTGTTTGTCTTGTTACTGAATTTTTTTTTCATTTTTATGTTATTTTCATTCATAGCAAAGAAAATACTCATTTTTGTAGCCAAATAACAAATGTGCCATGTAAAAATAAGTATGGGTTTAAGAGTTTACAGTTTTTAAACATCAGTTCTCAAGTTTAATTGTATCAAGTGTCAGTGGATAATTTACTGAAATGAAAAATTGTGCTCAGATAGCCTCATTGACAGCAATTCTGGGGCTAGAGATATAGCTCAGCGGCATAAGCGCCTGCCTGGCAAGCACAAGGTCCTGAGTTCGATTCCCAGTACAAAAAACAAAAGAAAACAAAAAAGACAGCAATTCTGTGCCCAGTGACAGCTTAGGGACCAGCCAAAACGTGTAGATAAGGTTCCATCCAGCAGTCCTAGGAGGCCCCATGTGTGACGTTTCTATCACCCTATGAAAAATGACTAGTCTACAGGATGGAAACAGTACAGGACCCTCTGGGGCGCCAGAAGCGTGGCCCCTACCCTCTAGGAACAGACTAAAGTATCACAGCTCAAGGCATGCTCCCCACTAGTCTGAGCCTTGATGTGTTAACCTGTTTAACCCTCCAACAATAAGTGCATGGGTATAGTCCTGTTTTAGAGAGGGGGATACTGAGGCACAGGGCAATGATACAGTTTGCCCAAAGTTATATAGAGTAAGCAAGAAAGCAGGCAGTCTGACTCCAGAGCCTTTCCTGGACCTCTGAGCTGGGGTACCTTCCAGGTACCTGACTGCAGGTAGTTACACCTGCAAACAATCTTAACTACACATTGGGAAGCAAATATGTTTGTGACACTGGCCAAAGCTGTTCAACGGCGTGCTTCTCTACCTACCTTTGCCAGGAGGGAACTTGGTGAACCCATTTACTAAGTCTCTAGATGCCTCAAGGAAGGGCTAGGCCTATGCATTAGCTCTTACATTTAGATGTTTGCATTCCTGCCTAGGCCGCTCTCCTGCCACCTTGATGAAGTCATAGGACAGAGGGCTCTGCGTCCAAGTTTGTTCTGTTCCATCTGTTAGGAAACTGCCTCTCCCCCGGTTCTGCCAGAGGCTTGCTGTGTACTATAGCACAAGCCATTGTGTGCCTGAGCTGTTCCACCCTGCAAACTGGGGACAATGGTAATTGCTCCTTCCACCTTTCTGTCTGGAAGGAAGTTGAGGGAAGCTCTGATTATCATTTAAACAAACACATGAACTAAATGCCAAGCTATAATGTAGGAAGGAATGTATGGCTTCAAAGATAGTGCTTCACTTGGGTAAAGAATATAAACTTGCCAACAAAGAGACAAGTGTAATTTTCAGATCAGTTAATGACTTGCTGGCCTGACGGACAGTTTTACATATTGCCATGCCTAGCTGTTTTGCTGGAAGCATCTGCAGTTTCATGGGCGCTCACTGATGCGACCCAATTCAGTCAGGGTCTGCTGTATGCTTGCACTGCAGCAGAACTGGGTACTGCATAAGCTGATACAACTTCCAATCCTTCTGTGGTTTGGGTTGTGACCAGGATCTCCTTATTTTGGGTCTCCATCATTGTCACTAACCTGCTAATACGAAGCACAGTCCATGAAAGCACATCAGTCTGTTGTAGATTGTTCCACCTAAACTCAAGTTTCCACCTTAGGTCAAGTTCATGGGCCTGGCCTGTGAGATATGTGTTCCCCTGATCACTGAGGTTCAATGAAGCGAACCTGCCTTGTGGGCTGCCTGCATTGAACAGTTGTTATTTTGTGTTTTCATCTCGGTGTTCACCATTTGCCCATCCTGCCTCTAGGGGCGCTATAACGCATTTATATAATGATATAATGCATTAAGTGCAGTGTGGTGCCTGCTTCCCACTGTGAAAGCTGAAGCACGAAGGTGTCCCTATCTCTCAGACACCCACTTTCCAGCTTGATTCTTTCTGTAGGCAAGTGGTCAGGAATCCAGGCAGACTACTTGGACCTCCTGCTTGGTGCTGTGAGCCTAGAGCAGGTAACCCAGAAACAAAGGATGCTAAAAACCATTTCATGGAAGCCCCAGTGGCCCAGGGTGGCACTGTGCAGCAGGGGAGGTGTCTAGAGATGGTGGGCTACAGGAAGGGTGTGTCTGCTGGTAAGGGTGTCCAAGGATGGGATGGCAGAGCCCTTTGAAGACCATTCTGGCCCCACTGAGCAAGCTGTCCCTCCTGTCTTCTGTAGCTCCCTTCTAGCTTTCTGTTAATCCTTTGGCCTCCAAGCTCCACCAAGTAAATTCTTTATTCTTCCATGAAATTGCCTGAATTAAACATAGATACCATATGACCTAATGCTTCCACCCTAGGTGTGGACCCCACAGAAGTGTGCCCATGTATTCATCAAAAGAAATGTGCTAGAGTGTTCATAGCCACACTGTTATAATAACCCTAACCTGGAAAGTACCCAAATGCCCATGAGGATAGTCACAGGAGAAATCCCATGCAGCCATGATAATGAATAGTCTGCACATCCCCATAATAGCGCACCCAGTGAGGTGAGGCAAGTAGGGACCCAGGTTACTCCTAAGGGGACAGTAACCCAAGGGAAAGCCTGGTGCAGTTTCCAGAATGTTCCATTCCTTGATCTAGTTACCTGTCATCTGATGCATTCAGATTGTGACAATTCTCTCAGCTGTATACTTTCAGGTTGGGTGCTTGTCTATATGTTCTACTTCAATAAAAAGCTGAGTTTGTGGCTACCAATCCTGAATCCTACTGTTACTTATTTTTTCTTTTTTGGTGTTTTGCTTGACTTTCGGCTCCTCGCAGATATCATCATTAACATGACATTGATCATAACATTAGTGGGGCATTTGAAGAGTTTGGCACACTTTGGATGATGAAGTATGTATAGTCCACAGCTGTCTGAATGGAGAACAGATGTAGGGGCCTCCCATGGATAGGCTATAGGAGTGCTACGCTGTGGGATTTTGGAGGAAAATAAGGAACCCTGCTGAGACCTCACATTGGATGACTGGGATGACATCTTCTGTGCCTTCCTGCCTTCAGACCATCACTGGACAGGGTCCAAGAAGGTCACCCAAGGGGCAAATGGGGACCTCAACTCTTCCCACCACATGGATTTGGTTTGTTGACTCTCGTTGCAGAAAGCATTTCGGCACACATTGGTAAGAGACGTAGGCAGGTTTATTAGGCAGAATCGGAGCAGTCCACACGCAGGTGCACAAGCACTTGATGGAGAGGAGCATTATGATCTGAGGCTGGTGTATTTATGTGGTGTAGGGGTGTCCTCAAGATGGATGATGCAGGATGTGTATTCCTTGAGTTATCATCTACCTGGTGTCTGTCAGACCAGCTGTGAGTGGGCTGTTTGCATGTGTTTGAAGCCTAGAGATGTGCTACCCAGTTAACGGAGCTGCTTCCTTGAGGATGGAAGTCTGGGATTTGTGGCTTTGGTATTAGAAGAAAACCATGGGCCTCATCTTTAAGATTCTGTAGGAGTAAGGAGGCGGGAGGAAAACAGACAAGGAGTGGAACAAGCATTGCAATCTTGGTGACTGCTTGTGTTTTGATACTGCAGTTTTCTCAAAGGCACGGTTATTAAATTACAGTTTCCTTGTCTCCTCTCTCCCTGTCTGTCTGTTCCATCCACCCTTGATCTGAGTGAGACATGGGGCAGAAAGAGCAGGTGGGACACAGCCTTCTGCTCTGTGCTCTCCCTGGACTCAGCTCACATCTACTCGCAGAGTGCCCAGCTCTCAGCCCCTGTCCCACTCGCAGCTCCACATGGCCTCTGCCATTCTCATAGCTCTGCCATGTCACTTCATGGGGTGATCTCAGAGTAGCTTCACACCAGGACCCCGCAACACAAGTGCAGAGGTCTGGCTTTGATTCTGAGCTCCAGCCTCGCTGAATGCCACCAGGAACTTGGTGGCGACCACCCTCCAAGGCAGTGTGTGGGGAGCAAAGCAAAGGGAGAAGGCCTTTGTTCTGGTGACTGCAAGTTTGAGATGAAATAAGGATGACAACTGATGTTTTCGCCTGGGATGAGTGTGGACAGTAGATTAGACAGGAGCTATTTGCACTTCCACCTGCTCAGCTCCCTGGGTGGTGAGAAGACACTAGATGAGGGCAGGTTTTTTGGTTTTGCGGTGGTACTGAGGATTGAGCCCAGAGCCTTCGCAGTGAGCTACATCCTAGCCCTTTATTTTTATTTTTTATTGTGAGCCAAGGGCTTGATAAGTCACTAAATTGCCCGGGGTGGGCTCAAATTTTCCATGCTCCTGCCTCAGCCTCACAGAGTGCCAGGATTACAAGTGTGTGCCACCACTCCCAGCCAGGGGGTAGATTTTAGGGAGTACCAGAAGGAAGCTAGCTGTCCCATTCTGGGTACCATCACCTCCTCCCCAGAACCTGGCCCAGAGCAGCAGCGTAGAGGACCAGCTGGTGCCTTCCCAGTTCTGCTTCCGGAGGTCAGTGTGGATGAGCAGGAGTGGCTCCCGCTGGCCACAACCTGATGATTCTATCTGGATTCTAATCAAACTCCTACATTTGATTCCGATGCAGCAAATGTAGTTTGCTTACTTGAAACACTTTCAGACCGATTCATGGGAATTAACCTTATGCTGGTGTTTTTCCAACCACTTTCCCTCAAAGATGTCTTAGTGACCCAGGGTAGCTCCAAGGTCCAATGTGCTGTGGCCTCTGCTTACTCTCCAGGGTCCCCCTCAGCATCACGTGTTCATCCACATTACCATTATTCAAGCTCACCTCATTTGCCATCTTCCTTGCTGCCACAGGGACTTTGCATCTGCTACATCCACTGCCTCTCTCTGCCAGATCTTGTTTTACAGGCCTTGACTCAAGTTATTAGTGAAGGCTTAAGTGTTCTATGGCCTCTTTGACCAGGCCGATCTGTTTCAAGGCCTACCCTGTGAGGCTTGTATTGCTGTTGCCCTTTTACATTTTTATTTGTGATTACCTAGCGAAGAGCATCTCCCCCACTATGCTGCAATCACTAGGAGGAAAGGTACCCTGGTCCTGCTCCCCACTGCACCCCAGCACTGCGCATGTCACCTGGCCCATGGTGGGTAAGTATTATCAGAACAAATACGTACAAGTTGCTACCAATCCCTAGTCTGAGGTAACAGAGTTCAAGTTAACCAGTATCCAACAACTGCTAAGCACCTGTATTTGAGTCCAAATCAGTCCACCACCACCACTACACTACCTGCTGTCACATCTGGGGGTGTAAGAACCAAAAGGCCCTCATCTCTTCCACCACACAATCAAAAAGAAAAAGGCTGCTAGGAAACCAGGAAGCACACTATTGGTTTTGTAGCCTTGTTGTGCTTTGTTGCCACTTAAAAGCCATAAATCATCTGTATGCTGTAACTGCACCTTCCCACTGTGTGGCTGGGCACTAGTTTAATTGTGGTAATTAAGGCCAAGGGAGGGCTGCCTCCAGGCAAGAAGTGAAAGAATAGCTTGAAAAGGAAAGAAACATCCTACCGGGCATCACAAAGGTAACATTAGTGAATTCTGTTCCCGCCTAATGCCCATTATGTGGAGTGGGGGATATTGAAGTCTTTCCTTGAAGTGAGAGGCCTATTATTTACTGCGGCTAGGTGTGTGAACAAGTGTATATTCCCTGATTTTTCTGTCCAAATCATTTGGCAAAGTTTGTATCATTTCCTTGTAGGTTTTCACATTTTTTATTGTATTTTACTTCATTTTTGCTTTTAGGTTAAATTAGACTTCATTCAACTCAATTTTAAGTATAAGCCAGTCCCTGGGGCAGAAGAAAGGAAGCTATTGTTCTGAATAAATCTAAGGCTTCTAGCTGGCGCCTAATCTAATCGTGGATTAGAGCCCTTTGTGGTGGTGCACATTTGTAATCCCAGGGAGGGGATTACATGGGAGGGGATGCACTCTGGGAGGCTGAAGCAGGATTGCAAGTCCAAACCCAGCCTGGGCAACTTAGTGACTTAGTAAAACCTTCTCAAAAAACAAAAAAGTAGAGAGGGAAACTGGGGATATAGCTCAGCTGGAAGGCTCTGCATTCAATCCCCAGTACGAACAGAGAGAGACAGACAGACAGAAAGGCAGAGACAGAGACAAGACAGAGACGGAGAGAGAGAATATCATTGATTGCTTTGCTTAGTCTCAGTTCTTACTGATCTGTTTGGAAGAGCACATTCTGCTTTAGTTATAATTACACAGAAACAAGGAAATGCAAAAGGAAAGAAAACACCCTGCTTGGTGGACAAATAACTATTGAGCAAGGAGGGACTTAGGAGACTGAAAAAACAAAGAGTGAGATGACCTGGGTTTCAGAGTGGAGGGAGACTTGGGTTGAAGTCCTGGCCCTGCCATGTTCTAGCTTTGTCACTGCTCAAAGCTTTTGCTTCCTCTTGTAGTACCATGGGGACAAGGACAGCTCATTCCTGGGGCTCTGGGAGACTCTGAAATCTCCTAAGTGAGTTGCACTGCTGGATGCATCCTGTGTGTGGTAAATGGGCATAGCTTGACCCCCTCAACAGTGATTTGCAGACATGATGAGCATCTGAAGACTCAGCATTTGAAACAAGACTGTGCCATTTATCAAAGATGAGCTGAAGGGAGGAGGGAAGGAGGCACTTAGCATCCCATGGCTGGGCCCATCTCATCCAGCACAGGAACACACCAGAGTTATGCTTTTCGTGAAGGAATACAACCTAGGAGGCTGGCACTCCAGGAACTGTTCTGTAAAAGACGGGGTAAAAGAAAGGTAGAAAAGAGACAAGTGAACTTGTAATTTAAAATTGTACCTTTATGGGGGAAACAATGCAGCTTCACCACACAAAAGTTACTAGAATCTTTTTCTCTTCTGGGAAACTCACTCCAAAAAATTTCTTCAAGACACAGTAAACCTGTGAATTGGGCTCTGGGCCTGAGCTTTTCACCCGTAGGTTGCCTATTGTCACACTGACCTCAATCCTCAAGGGAGCAGCAATGTTAGTAGGCACCGGGCCGGGGATATAGCTCAGCAGTACAGCGCCTGCCTGGCAAGTGCAAGGTCCTGAGTTTGATTCCCAGTACCAAAAACACTAGATGGGTAGATGATAGATAGATGATAGATAGATAGATAGATAGATAGATAGATAGATGATAGATAGGTGGATGTAGGCACCATATCTCAACTTCACACACAGGTAAGTGGTTTATATTCTAACCCAGTCAACCAAATGGGCACCCTGACAGACAGTGGGCATACACCTCCTAGATCAGTCATCTTGAGGATACCCCACAACCACATAAAAACCCCCAAACCCAGATCATAATGTGCTTCTCTCATGAAGGCCCACACCCTGTTCTCTCTGAGTATATAATTGTAAATTCTGCCTAATAAACCTTTTTATGCCTCTCACTGACACAGAAGTCAGTGAAGCTACAACCTACTCCATGGGTGCGATGAACTGAGGTCCCCATATCCTCTTTGGGGGGCCCCTTTAGGACCCCAAGAACTCATCCTGATCAGCAGCACAGGTGGGGATTAAACCTATACTTACAATTGCTGTTTGCAGGGACAGTGATCATAGCGGTTTGAAGGAGGTTAACGTATTTGACCGCCCCTGTGAGGGGACCACAGTATTCACCCAAAGGAGCAGACCACTGCATGTCTCTGCTGACTGGCACTTGATTCGAGGACTGCTGTCTGTTTGTGGTGAGCTGACTTTCCATCTGTTACCTTTAGTCTCCGCTCTGACA